GCCGCAGTTCATTACTCTGCCGGCTGGGTCCTGTGGCCAGCAATTGAGGATTGTGAGGTACACAGGGAAAATATCGTCGGGAAATTAACACATTTTTATAATAATTTTACATAATATGTAATCAGAAGAAAGCTATGCTATGAAGGAGTCATTTCCGACCACATAAATCATGAATATTATTGATCAGCTGCAAAAGCTGAATCGATATAGCCATGTCCGACCAAATTCTAATATTTCAACTTTAGTATCTCAAAGTTAATTTCCATTTTTGTTTAAATTTAAAACAATTTTTTCTAGTGCATCCTGCTCTGTCGTAGCAGTGACTCTTCCTGCCACGCCGTTATCCCGTTGACTCCTTTTTGCTTTTTTGTTAGCCGCTGTCGATGCTCACGTCGAGCCATGACAAAGATTATCAATAACAAGGACCAAGGAAGATACACACATCACAGCGTGTATATGTGCGTTATCCTTGCAACGGATATTGGCTATGCCACAAGCCGGCCAAGCTCCTTCTTACGCTGTCCATCGGCAAGTCCTGGTTTGCCTGTTGGCCATCCGTACCAATTGTGTCCATTGTTTTTTTTTTGTTGCAAGTGCGTTGCCATCTGTTTTGTTTAAATATTCCAGCGGCTTAATGCAAAATGATCATTATCAGGATAAATAGGAGTTTATTGTCATTATAAAAGCATATTTAGGTTGTTTAAAAATTCCACATATAATATTGATGGAGCTTAAATAATGTTTATATTTGCTATCGAGCTGGTTTCTAATATCAGAAAGAATTGAGTTTTATTTCGTGTTCAGTCACTTAGATTATATCATAAAGTTTCTTCTACTTTTCTTTGATTATTCCAGAAGTATCTCTTTTACTTCTCTAAAAATGTGAGCTTTTTCTTCATTATCCCAATTGAGTGACAGCAGTTTCGCCTCATTTATTTTTGCCCCGAGACCTGTTCTCTGTTTTTTCAAGCGAAAGCCAAAACCAATATAAACATCAGCGCACACATGAAATTTTCTCGAGTTGGCAGTTTTGGGGAAAACTCAACAATTCGCGCCACTCGCACTCGCATCATAATTTGCAATGTGTTTTCGGGCAGGAAGCGGGTCCGCTGAAAACATTCGAGGGGGCTAAGAAGGTGTGTCTGAAAGGTGGCCAAGCTTGTCATATCCTGTTGGCATCACTGCAAAAGGTTTTCGGGGAGGGAGCATCCTCCTGCCGCTGCCTGGCGGAAGTGTGAAATATTTTTAAACAGCAACAACCCCAGCTGCGAGCTCACCTGAATTTACCTTCACCTTATGCGGCATGGAATTTTTGCGCCGGAGCGTATTTTATTGGCATTTTCTATGAAATTTGTGGCCATCTAGGAATTCCTTTGGTTGCTCCGCTCCAGCAATTTTCATATTAAATTTTTCGGCTTTCCCCGACCGACCACGTTGGCCACGATTTCCCTGGAAATCTCTCAATTAAGCTGAAAATCCGAGAGAGAGAAAGAAAAATAATACCCGAATACGAGCGGTGGCGCACAGTGCGTATAATTGATTTAGCCAAATTGTTAACCGCATGAAAGTTGGCAAATTGCGTGTACTTCTACATTTTTGGCCAAAAACCAATCGGACCTGGTCCCAAAATCCGCACCAAAGAGAGATCCAAGTCCGCCGGGGAACCTTTTAATTTCACGCACGCAGTGCATAAATTTAGCATTTTAGCCATTTGCATTTACATTTGACATGGGGCATGATTATGCGACACTTGTCAATGGATTTGCAACGCACAGCAATCGTCCCTTTTTCGGTATTTTGGTGTTTTGGCCATTCTGCAGTTTTCCACTTGGATTCGATGGTGGGATAATCAGGTATTATCTCCTCCCCAGCTTTATATTTTCACATACGACGAGGGAGTTGCAATTAAAGGCAATTCAAGTGATTTTTGAGGCTGGCTGTATAAAATCACAATGAACTGCATACAAATTTGCCTTTAGATCTTGAACAGCTCTTGTTTATTGATGAATATATGTTCAACGTTTATCAAAAATTCCGAAATATTCTGAAATATTCCTTTAAAGTTTAGTTATTCCATGGAAAATTAATTCAACCTATTTGATCAACAAAATATTTCTGAGGTTACTCAATAGAAACATTTTTACAGACGCAATTCAAAGAGAATTGCGTGAAGAATGTGTTTTTAAATTATACAGTAAGGAAAATCGTGTTTTTATGAATCATAAAGAAGGAAATTGAGATTTAATTGGTTTTATTATATACAATTTTGTAGTATGTAATTGAAAATTAATCATAAAACAATCTAGATTCGGATTCGGATTTTAGTAACACAAATTAAAGTAACTTTTAAAGTAACTTTATATAAATAAATATTTCGAAATAGAATTACACTTCCAATAAAGAATACATACAACTTTTCTTATGAAGGGGTTTCAAGTAAAATAAACCACATTTAAATTTCTTAAACTAACAATTGAATTATACTCCCCAAGAAAGTGCTGCAGAATTTAGTTTGAATAATTTAAAAAATTTAAATAAATTTTCTACCCCTTCGTGATCTACTCAACATATTTTCCTGCTAGCATTATATCTCAATTATATTATTATTTCGAATCAAAGCTCTTCCCTGCCTCCCCGTAACAATGTTTTGCTGGGCAATTGAAACGGAAAATGCAACAAGGTATTTCGCGGCAAATTCCACGCCTGTCAACGCGTCTTCACTCAACGGATGCTGGGCTCTTCTTCTTTTCGGGTGCATTCTAGTGCCAAAGGTGCATGTTCTATCTGCGTAGTTCTAGATGCTAGCCAAATGTTTATGCTAATTAAATTGACTTTACAGTCCCCTCCCCTGGCCCCACTTAGCCCGCTCTTCTCGGCGAGACATTTGTTCGAAATGTGGGTCAATTATGCGATTTGTCGCGTCACAGACACAAAACACAGCTGGGGGGTTGCTCTTTCGCTCAGGGTGAGGTGGTGTCCCATCCATCAGAGGCCATTGAAATGTGCGTTGGGGGTGTGGGTGGCACAGCAGGTTGTCTTATATAATTATTTGTCAAATTCGCACTGAGCACATTCACTCACCGCAGAAACCGCAACAAACTCGGCCACAATCCATCATCAGTTGGCTCATTACGACAATCGAAGTATAGATTCGAAGCGTAAAGAATTACCACAGAAAAAATTGTATATATATAGATATGATGGAGCCCCCTTGTGGGTATGATTGGGCCTGGAAAATTGCTTAGTCAGCGACGGGGGATCAGAGCTTCCGGTCCGGGTCCGACAATCGGAAATAATTATCGTAAATTTTATGACAAATGTGACGATGGCCGACGGCCGATAAGATTAAAGTTGTGATGCGTATTGAATTTTCCGGACTCGCCAAAAAGTATGCTATGCCCACCCCGAATTTCCAGCCCCAACATTATCCCCATAAATCTCCATAATTACATACTTTGTAATTTAACAAATGTTTATTCTTGTTGTTGATTAATATTACACTCTTTATTGGTAAATTATGTGTTAATATAAATAAAAATGTTTCTTCTATTTTCGTCGTGTAAAAACAATTTGGCAAAGTGTATGCATTTATTAAACATAAATATCAGTATATAAATTAACATCATTTAGTATACATTAAATCAAGTTCAGGCAAAAATGCATTGAATGGGAAGACCATTTATCAGAAGTCACACACACACACACACACACACACACAATATCCCTAATTGAAAGCTATTTCGGTTTTGCCAATTTCCCCGAATCCGTATACCCGTCTATATATTTTTGCTCAGTCCAATTGTTCAGATATTGGCCATAGGCGGGGCCTCTTACTTATAAATACTACCCCGTCCAGATAAGAGCTATCTAATAATGGTTCTGGTTTGTGGTCTGTGACTGTATTAGGGGGGGCGCCGAAGGCTTTAAATCGTCTAGATTTATTTACAATTAATTTTATTTGATTTGTCATACATTTCTCTGGCTGAGTTCCTTCTGCATGAGGCCAGCACAGCACAGATGTGCAAACACGGACAGAAAAATCGATTTTATGCTGTTTATCCTTAAGTGTATTAAAATTATGTTTAAAGCACTTGTTTTTAGGGAAGCACATAATGATTTTAAGTTATGGTTTGCTCAAAATTAAATGCAATTAGATTGCATAGTTTAAAATAATAGCTCTTCCCTAATTCGATCTTCAATTCAAATATTTTTTAAATGCAATTTTTAAAATAAATTTTAAATAAATTATATTGAGAACAAAAACAAAAGATGATATATACCCTTGCAGCTGTTAAATTAAAGGATTGAGTCGGAAATCTATTAGAACTTAAAATATTCACATTTTCTTTGACTCAATATTTTCAATATTTTTGGGATAAATCAAAATTTGAAAAACTCATAACTCTGGCTAAAATGCCTTAATTTTAATTTGGAAAGCGAGTTTTTGATAGGTTAATCTGCATGCTCAATCTTTAATTCAAAACAATCAAATTTTTGTATATACATTTTTAATATAAATTGTTTTATAAACTGCGATAGTTTTCTTTCGAATTGGAGAAGTTTTAGATTATAAATACATTCCCGTGTATGCACACATCATCTTATATATATAAATATATATGTATGTTTGCTTATGCATGTTCTGACCCCCCGGAGAGACCCTCTTGCGAACCCCAGACCCCCTTTCGCTCCACCCTTGGATGCACTCGCTGATTGCCGTTGATGATGGTGTTCTTGCTTTTGTTTTTGTGGCTGCTGTGGAGCTGCTCCCCCGCATAAAGCTGACAATAAAAACAAAAATACGCTCGCTCATTCACACACTCATTCCATCACACACTCGCACACCACTCATTTGGCTCTCGCACACTCACACTGTAACTGTAAAGCCAACACAAAGCGAATGAATATGAAAATTTTGCACAGAATTTTTGCGCTTTGTTCTCCAGCTAGTGTTAGTTCTCTTCTCATTTTTTATATACTTTTTTGTGTCGAATTTTTCATTTCTTTTTTTTTTTTTTGTTGGTGGGGTCAAATCTTAGAGCAGCTCGCACTTGTGGCGCGGACGGGTGCGGATCACCGGACACAGCACCGACCGGATGGCCTCATCGAAGACCGTCTTCAGGCCCTTTTGCGTTAGCGCCGAGCATTCCAAGTACTTGACTGCTGCAATTTCCTTGGCCATCGCGAGTCCTTGCGGATACGTGATCGGTGTGAGCTTCTTCTCCTTCAGCTTCTCAATGGTCTGCTTGTCGTCGCGCAGATCCAACTTGGTGCCAACGAGGATGATCGGGACACTGGGGCAATGGTGACGCACCTCGGGGAACCACTTGGCCCGCACGTTCTCAAAGGAGGCGGGATTCACCAGCGAGAAGCAGATGAGGAAGACATCCGTTTGGGGATACGAGAGTGGCCTCAGGCGATCGTAATCCTCCTGTCCGGCCGTATCCCAGAGTCCCAGATTGATGGGTTTGGCATCCACCATCACATTGGCGGAGTAGTTATCGAAGACAGTGGGAATATATTCCCCCGGAAAGGCGTTGGTCGTATAGCTGATCAGCAGGCAGGTCTTACCCACCGCTCCGTCGCCCACAACCACGCACTTGATGGCCTGCATGACGATATAGGTAGTTTGCTGGTAATCAGGGAATTCAGCGGTGACAACAGATGGATTTTTAGCAGGGCTTCCAGTGGCCTGTTCTTCACACTTTATAGTTCACTTTGCTGTAATCTATCAGTTTGGCATTCCAGTATCACTGAATACAGAGTGGTTCCGTAGTTTTCAGACAGCTCAACAAGTTTTCCAGCAATGCGCGATAGCTTCCCTTGTTGTCGATGTTTTCAGTGGCGTTTTTCAACTAAATTCACTAGCTCAACAAGTTTTTCGGATTTTGTTGCTTTTTATTCTCGCGTTGGCGTTGGCGTTTTTGCTTTTATTATTTCTGTTTAGGTCGATTTTTTTTCTTCTTTTTGGCGATTATACAATAATTTTGCTCACGCACTAATACAAATGCTGCCCACACAACGTACACACACACAGTTGGAGCGATGCGAATATTGCAATTGGAGTTTAGTTTATCGCGATAATTTTTCGGTACAATCAATATACTTGATTGAGGGCAGAACTGTTACGGCTTCGGGTTGTCGTTGAGTTATTATTATTATTATTATTATTTATGAATTGATTGGAGCCCGCATATATTCAGATACAACAGAGAAACACGCCCAAACGCTGTGAAATCTTAGCGGCGATTGAAGAAAATTTCTGATATTGCTGGGCTGTCCAACGGGTTGCTGTTGTTGGTCGCACTATGGGACAAAAACGATAAAACCGAGGTCTAATTCAGCAGAGCACAGTGGAGAAAAAATATGTCATATTACAATATATGTATTTCTTTATATTTTTATTCATTTAAATATGAGAACATTTTTCGGTCTATAATCATAATTAATTTTCTTTTTTGAATATAGTTTAAAATGTTAGAATATTGATTTTTAAGAGAAATTGGTAAATATGTATAATTTCCTTGCACATTTATGTGCTGAAATTCATATTCTTTAAAGTTTCCTTAACAAACTATTAAATATCTTTACGAAAATGATTTTCATCTGATATTTTTTCTCATTGCCCCACAGTGGATCTGCTGTAGTTTTCTCCCAACTTGTTTGGGGGCCACTCCACATTATGTCTGTCTCGCTCTCACGCTTGTGTGAGCCCCCAATCTACTCGCGCACACTGGCTCTCCCACATAAAAAGAGCGTTGTGAGAGAGATCAGGCACAGTGGTCTCTCGGAAAATTAGTCACACTGTGCCAAGTAATGACTCATTCGCAGCTGGTGACGTTAATAGGGGCTGGCGAAAGAGAGCTCTGATTGCAGAGAGAACGATTTAGAGGGAGATAGCAAATGAAAACTCTCTTCACTTGACCTTGCTTTGGTCTTTTTCAAATAGTTTTTCTATATTTGTGCGCCGCTTTTCCATGAATTTCCTCGCCGTCGCTTGTTTTTGTTGGCCGACGCTCGAGCCCATTTCCACGACATTAGCGAACCGCTATCAGTGATGGTTCAGTAGCTAGAAAACCCTATTTTCCACCTATTTCCTATTAAAGTTCTTTTTTTTTTTTTGAATATTAATTATACTCAAAAGCATGAACTCAGTGAAGTAATCATTTCCGATCTTGATCAGCATCAACAGCCGAGATCTAGTCACCTCCAGTCAAAAAAAGAATTTTTTAAAAAATTGTTCAAAATTTGGAATAAAGATAAGGGGTTACATCGTTCTTTTTTTTATAATTTGCAAATATTTGAATTTCCTAACATTTAAAATGTAGTATGTAGATTTAATAACCTTATAAAAACCTACATAAGAAAGCTTTCCGAATTGAAATTAATTAACTTTTAAGTTAGTTATGCCGATTCGGCTTCTTGATGCAATTAGAAGGGTGTACAAAGTTAAAAATCTATATTGTTTTAGTATATTTTAAAAATTGTATATAAAATTCTACAGAGTATTTTTAAATTTTCGTATTAATTAATGGAAAATAAATAATTATAAAAAGAAAGTTTACCATTTTATTCATTTTCTATTTTACAATCCTCTTACCAGATATTTGGTGTATTGGAAAAGTCGTTGCATTTTCCCATCACTAATCATAAATTCAGCTAACGGCATTTGCTGCCGTTGACTGTTTTAATGGACCACAAAAACGCATGTGTTGGCAAAAACCAAAACCGAAGGAATAACAAACAAATAACAACAAGAGCAACCAGGGCGAAATATCGACAGTAAAAACCGAAAACCCAAAAACAGGACCGTAACCAAATCCGCCGCATCCGCATTCAGCCAAAAGCGATAGCCGAAAAATTTCGAATTTGTGTTTGTGTTTTTGGGTTTTCACTTCCGCCTCCGTCCACACCCGCTTTTCCGAATGATTTTCCCCCCCGCTGAAATGTTTAAAGCGCCGCCAGCGAACATTTTCGCATTTAAGTTAATTTCTCGCACTGCCGATGCTGGCGATGTAATTGGATAATTAAATAGGCGCCACAAATTTGGCTCTTCAGCAATCTGAATAACACAGCATGAATATGAAATTCATTAATAAACATTTAAAAAAAAGGGTTTCCCATGGAATTTATTAAACAAAAAATTCGCAACAATTAAATCGCCAATGAAGTTCGTTCAAGTGGAATATATGTTTCTGTTTCTGTTGTTTGTGCGTGAATCATTCGATTTTGTGTTCGATGTCAAGTGGTGGGCAGCACAAGGTTATCTCCGGATCCGAGGGGTAATCAAAAACTATAATGGGTTAAAATATACATGGGCATATTTCAGAAGGGAAACCAATACCAAATAAAAGGGGAATTTTCATATTATTTTCCACATTAAATTGATATTTTAAGTGATTAGCATTCAGCTAAATCAATCGAGTTTAATTGACCTGAAATGCGATAAGCTTTATATTTATTCAGGTGGTATATCAGATATATGTAGGTATAACTTCCTGAATTAGTCAGAATCGGTTAAGAAACGGAAGAAATTGTAACTAAATTAAGTAAAGTGAAAGTGAAGTTTATAATAATTGTGATTTTAAGAACCTACTTTTAATACAGATTTATCACCAAACTACAGAACCTTAATTTTAATCTTTTGTTAAAACATTATTAATGCTTGAAAAGAAAAATATATCATTTACGAAAGTAAAAGTAAAAATTAAACGCGCATGAATTGAAAATCAACATTGATATCGTATAACAAGGATAATCGTTGGCATATTCAGGCCTTTATCCGTATATCCTTATTACGACGTGTCCATTACAGGAATGGAAAATTGTGCAAATAATTAAAGCCAAAGAGAAAGATACGTATGACAGCGAGTGCAACAATTATTTGATTACTGTCGCCGTTGCTGCCACGTAATTGGCGAAGTGATATATGTATACGTAATACCCTACCATACATACATATATCCATTTCCATATCCGGTATACCCATATCCCATCCTAGTAATCGATCCCACATACAGGAAAATTCCATAGGAACAGCTTGCCGGCCATTATGCAGCGAGTTATTCATAATTGTTGTTGCGGCCCAAGTGGCAGAGGAGAATGCATAACAAACTGAAAAATATTCAAGCAATTTTTATTGCCACACCAGACACACCACACACACACACACAAAATACAAATATGCTTACATATTTAAATACACTGAGAATCAAGGGATCTTTTAGAAGAATATCATGTTTGGGTTTAAAGCATTTCAACTTGTTCAAAAAGAAATGTATTTCAGGACTAAGTTTATTCTAATAATCCAAATAATGTGTTCCATTATTTTTTCAAATATTTATATATATCCCATATTATTTCTTCAAGTGCACACTTCTATGTATGTATGTATATAGTGACTGGGGATAATGAATGAATGCGCGCTAAAGAACCGCAGCCTGAACCAAAAAAGAGCGAAATAAAACAAATACTGCAACTGAAACAGCGAGCAAGAGGCTACAATAACAATAAATTTAACACTTTAACGGCTGTGTGAAGAGCGGCTACATATAATATCCACCCAAATCGCATTAAATTATTACAAACGAAACAAATTATCAAATTATGTTAGGAATGGGTGCAGTTTAAACAAGGGATTTTCACCATACTGGAATTTGAAGCCTACTTTTAGGCAAAAGCATTTTGCACTTCATTCGGGCATTCATAAATTATTAAATTATATTATATAGAAGATCATTTTGTTTATATATATATTTGAAGACATAAAGATATATAAATATTTCTACATATATAAATAGTTTTACCCATATCAGGTATTAGATCCATCCTAATAAGCTTCTTTAAGTCCCAAAGTAGATGCTATATATTTGTATTAAAAATGAGTCCTTTAAACTATTTTAAAGAATTAATTTATATATATATTTTTTTTTAAATAAAAAATTAAATTTTCAAATAAAATAACCCGATAATCTATCAACACTTGTTTATATTAAAATTTCTGTTTGCAATTAAGAGCTTTATTTCATATGATCAACATGTGAATTCCCGCTGAGTTCGATTCTCGGACATTTAAAGTTCGCATTTCTTGACCGTTTAATTGCTTAAATACTTTTCCGATTTATCCGTTTTCACTGTGTCCGTTTGCAAATTTAATTTATTTAATGAGCAGCGTAATAAAACGCATTTACTGTCAAGTGATAAAATGGTATACCAGCTTCGGCGCTCCATGTTTTCCTCTCTGCTCCTTTTTTTTTGCTCATACCCTACTGGCTCTTACTGCTTTTTGCATATTTTTCATTTATATGTGGTCCACATGTCAAGCGCATTTTCCGCCCAATTTTCATTTTCCACCCACTCTGCAGCCTGTTGACATGCAGCAATTATTAACTTTTGCGCGACTGCTGCCATGGCGCCGCGTGTTTGTTATTAATTTCTTGTTATTTATGCAAATAGTTGGCACTTAATACGCCTGTAAATATATTTCAATGCGAGTATTCGTTTCTGACTTTCTCACTCCGTTTCCAAACGCTTTGCGCATTACAATAAATTAACAGCAAACAAAAATATAAATATATATTTATTTATATATACATATATATAAATGTTGTGATGCGGCTGTGACACGTTCCCCGCTTATCGACAATGTTGAGCTCTCCCTTGGAATTTTAAACTTTATGCCAAATATGAATTTCGTATCATGAAAGTCTGGAGAGTCCTGTGCATTGGAGTCTGCCCGGGTCCGAGTTCTATAAACTCTACTGAGTTATCGCCAGCAGACGTGAAGTCATCTCTGGGCACATGCTCAGGCACTGGGGAAAATTTTCACCAAGATGCTGAGGTTTAATAGTAATTAAAGTGTAGCATAAAATATACAAATAAAAAATAAAATTCAACAGGAAAGAAGCTAATTATGAGAAGCCAAAGTATGAATCTTCTTGCATAGGATCATGGGTTCTAATAATAAATATTTATAGTGTCAGAAGTTACTCCTTTACTAGATGCAAACTTCTGACTGAATTTTAATACCCTGCAAGGGTAGAAATATTTATAATACAGCACAGTATTTAACATTGCATACATTTATATAAAATAGAAGTCAAATTTTAGCTGTATTATTTGCTCAAATCCATAAAAATACTCCTAAAACTTCATATAACTCTTTTAAATTTGTTCCCTTATAAAGACATATATTTTCCCCAGTGTATGCATATGCATTCCATTCGAGTTCTGTTTGGCTTGGCCATGGGGTCACGTCTGCGGGTCTATGGTTGGGTTCGGTCTGCGTCCATGTCCTGGCTTCGTCCTGTTTGACTGCTTATGAATAAAGTTGTTTGCTGGCTTGTCAATACACACATGGCATCATCATCATCATTGCTTCTCCCCCTTGCCTTTTTTGGCCCAAACCCAAACCCAAAACCCCCTTTCAATTGGGGTTATTTGTCGCCCTATCTGGCACGAATCGCCGCCTTCTCCTCCTCCCTTGTTGACTTTTCAGCTTTCAATGGGCCACGACGACGACGTCTATTCATTTTTTGTGTTGCGCTATTAGGGTTTCCATTTCCCCAGCATCTCCATTTCCCAGCTAACCAGCCTTCTCCCCATCACCTCATCATCCGTGCCGCCGCCGCCGCTGGCAATTTGAAATGAAAAGTTGTCTGCCATATAAACATATGTATAGATGGAAAAAGAAAACACACACGGGGCGTTCGTAGTAGGCAGTAAATAGCAACAGGCTTGGTGACGAAATGTGTCCTTTGACATTTGATCGCTCGCCTCCGATAATCCTGGCCAGCATCGGCTCGTTGGCTCTTCAGCAGCTCGGCTTAATGGCTTGCTGCATTATTTATAGCACGTCGAGGTCCCATCAAAACGCTTTAACACCGGCTTGGAAAAATAGGAGAAAATGAAATTGCGAAATATATATATATATAAACGTGGAAAAGCAGCTGCCGCTGCTAAATGTAGTCCACAGAGTCGTTGACTTTAAGCCGTAGACAATGCGGGGCATTAGGCGTTAGGATCCAGAGTCTAAGTAATTAAAGGCTTAACGGGAAGAGTCCTTTCAATTGGTCAAGAAGATTGTCAACTTGAGTATTTACCTACATTTATTTTAGAATTTCATACAGCAATCAGTTGAAAAGAAATGTATTAATACTCTTTTATTATTTAATATTTCTCTGAACTCGAAATTCTTTTGAAGAGCATTTAATCTTCGTTTTAATCTTCAGAATCTATCCCCTGTTTGTGTGTGTTTTCCGCACTCAATTACAAAGTTCAGCTCACATGTGGCCAAAGGGATGCAGGATGCAGGAGGTGAGGTCCTTTCCTACTCTGGAATCCTAAAGTTTAGCTGGCGACGACTTTTACTTGCTTTCCTTGCCACGAAGGCGTCTTAATTTACTTTTGCGCTCAGGCGTCTGGAAAATAAAAGTGCAGTCGCTGGCAGTCTTTGTCCTGGGCCTAAAAAAAAACACATCCCATCCACAGGACTTCTAGAAGGGAAGAAAAGAGAAAGGCGGCAATTTCCTGCACATTTTCTAGCGGTTGAACTTGGGGTAGTGCAGTTAATTATAATTAAGCCAGTTAACTAACCACTTGCCAACACTTGAGGAACACACACACACAGCAGGAGCGGAAGGACTACACTTAGTCACCTGCTGATATGCAGATCCTTCTCTTCTTCCCCCTATTGTTGTTTTAATTAAAGCTGCGTTCATTAAAATGCCAACAGCCCCAAAATATAGGCCACGAAAACTGTTGCATATTCAAAACGCTTATTCAATACGATTTTACTGACTGTAACTTCGGGATGATGTAGTTGCTATTGTTGCCGCATTTTCACAATAGTGAACGCAAGTCACCAAGGAAGCTGGTATATGGAAAACACTGGAAAAAAGGTGCCTAAGGTCCTTATGGGATAGATTTTTTTAGTTTTAACAAACATCTAAAGCTTGACTCTTTGCGTATTTAAGCCCTGATAGACATAGATGTTTAACTGATAAGACTTTCCCATTTCAAATGATATCACTGTGAGACATCATCTTCCTGTTTTTATTCACTGTGCATTTCGCCAACGGCGTTGTTCCTTCATTTGCAAGGACAATGCGACACAAAAAATAGAAACCGTTGAATGAGTGAGTGAATGCCTGAATGGGCGTATGAATGGATGAAGCCCAGACGACAGGAGACCGGCGAGAATGGCTGGCAGGAATGCCATTATAATAAATAAAGAGCCTTTCACTCATAACTGGCGCACAATGCAGCCAAAGCCATGAATATCCAACTCCTTCTGACTCCTTTCCCGATTCACTGTTTGATTTATGCCAAACAATGCGAAAACGCTTTTAATAAAACCTGATGGGGAAAAGCTACAGATAAGGATCAATGGAAAATTACTATGGGTCTTAAAGCTGCTATTAAGATAGGGGAACTTATTTCTAATTAAATATTAAATTACAAACTGTACTATGTTTATAAAGAATTTTGTGAGAGTATTGTTAAAGAGCTGAGACCTTATGATACTTAAATATTTTGTCACAACTCCAATTGTTGACTATATGTTCCCAAAGAGAATAAATATCAAGTGTCCAAGTGTGTTTTATTTGAGTATTATTCCCTCCCCTCAATCAGCTGATTTTCTAGCCCATATTTAGAGCCAGGCCAAAAGCGGCAAAAGCTTTTACAATTAACACCAACTGGCGCTCCCATAAATCCGCAATAAATTCCTTTTGGGGTGTGGATTGCATAAAAATCACATTAACAATTTGCTAGTACACGAGTATTTTATTTTTATGGCTGCATGTTTTATTTTCATTTCATGCACGTCTTTTGTACATTTTAATGCCTCTGCCACACACACGTTGTGCTATGCAAAAGAGCACACATGTTGCCATTGTGTACGAGGAAGTGAGATGGGGAGAGTGTGAGACAAGGAGGCACTGCAATGTTGCCATCGAAAGCGCAATAAAAACGCTTAATTTTTCACTTTTACACGAGCGAGAGAAAAGTTTCCTTGTTGCTCCTGCCTTGCCACCTACTTTCTCCTTTTTCCCTCAGTTTGCCACGTTTTTCCCCTCCATTTTCCAGTGAGAATAATGGTTGCCCAACTGGGCTTGTTCCTGTATATATGTGTGTAAGCCATTTGAAAGTAATTTAATTTAATAACAAGCTTAAAACATGTCCCCCGTTAAAAGCAAACAGACATAAATATGAAAAGGAATACATGTGACAAATTATATATAAAATAAGAGAATGTTTACTTAGTTACTAACTAAGAAATGGGACCAATCTTTGATCGATTACTCTTTAAAACCTTGGGACCTTATCCGGTATTCTTAAAGCTGATTAAAGTATTAACCGACTGAAAAAGTTGATTTCAATTAAAAAGGCATTTTTGCATTTTAATTGCCTTGCGATAAGATAAAAATCCCCAAAAACAAAGCGAAAATGCGAAACCCAATCCTGTATATATACAATACATATATATGCAATGCAAATAAACGATACTCTCGGGTTGATATCCATTTGATATTTAAGCCCCGACGACAAACAACAAAAGGAAACAAAGGCGAATGTGATTTTTATTTATTGCACAATGCATTTCTTTCCTCTTTTTTTGTATTCCGCAGATTTTACTGCGAGAAAAACGGACAATCTGCGGCCGCTCACAGATTTGGATTCGTTAAAAAACTGGAAAAATCAGCAACAAACGCGGAGGGGGAAAACAATCCTGAAATCCGGCTGCAAATGCAATAAGCCGTCGACGTTGACAAAAGGCCCCGTCATCGTCTAAGCCACAACACAAACGCACAGCGAAAAAGGACAACGGCAGGAGACGGCAGGATTGCGTTCCTGTACTTTGGACACACGTGCGCCGCGGCTGCGCCGGTGCCGGTCCCGGTGCCACTGTCACTGTCACTGCCTTTGGCTCAGTATCCAGTGTCCCTGCCCGTGTCCTTGGCAGGTCCTGAAGCGGCCACCATGAAGCTGTCCAAGCTGTCCAACCAGACCAACTCGCAGGATCCGCAGGCGGTCAACTCGCGCATCTTCGTGGGCAATCTGAATACCTTCCAGTGTTCCAAAACGGATGTGGAGCGCATGTTTCAGATCTATGGTCGCCTTGCAGGTGAGTCCTACTACTCCTACATAGTACTCTTCCTTCAATAAATCCATTGTGTTTTTGTCCTTCAGGCATATCCATGCACAAGGGCTACGCCTTTGTGCAGTTCACCAACCCGTTCGATGCCCGCAATGCCTGCCACGGCGAGGATAGCAAGACGGTGCTCAGCCAGACATTAGGTGAGTCCTGTTGAGTATCCTCTGAGGTCCTGGGAATCATAAAACCTTGACTTGTGAAGAAGAAGATACCTATCTACTTAAAACCTTGACTTATGAAGAAGATACCTATCCTACTTTATTTTAGTTAATGTTTGCTAGCTAACTGTTTAGGAAAGCGAAACTATCAAAGTTTAAAGCACTTAAACTATGACTTTAAAGAAAATCCATTTCAAAAGTTTCTTTATAAAATTTAAATTTCCAATCTTCTTTAACTTCAATATCGATGTGTTGATAGTTAAAATCCAAAACATTCGCAGTTGTTTAAAATCCTTGATTTAAAATCCGCCACTAACGAAGGCTGCTGCTATTTTGCATAGACATTCCAGACCTTAACCCTCACCTCATAGTCCTTCTCCTGGGCCAAAGTTGCATGTCCGCAGGATACGTGGGGTTTTTTGTGTGGCAGTTAGAGCTAAACCTGGGGTTTGAGCTGGTATACAGGAACAAAGTGGAGCCTTCAGGTTAATGGCCGACGGCAGCGGAAGCGTTGCACTAAAATCGAACAAACGCGCGAAAAAAGCCACAAGAAAAAGGGAGAAGGTCCTGGCAATTGTAATGAAGGAGCAGCACCCTCTGCATGTGTAGTGGCCATATCTTAGACACCCAACGCCAACTAATGTCTGAGTATTTTCCAAAAGTCCGGAAGTCAGTGCCGGCCCGCAAAAAGCAAAAAAAAAACTTAAAGTGCGGCCGACATAAATCTTGGCACGATACTTTTAATGAAATTTCAATGTTGCACCAGACAGCCGACTGTCTTGGTATGTATCTGTTTTTTGTTTCGCCGTGACTGTGACTCTGACTCTCTGACAGTCTAGTCAGTTCAGCGTTTAATGAAATAATTCAACGCCAGTTGCAGCTGCCTTGCTCGTGTGGAGAACAACTTAATGCACTTAGTGCGCAATGTCAGCTGATGAGCTGCATCCTTTTCTGCTGCCGGCAACGCGGCGGATACTTGATGTTCGCCCTCGCAAAAAAAAAAGAAATTCAACAACACTCATACAAATAAAACAAAAAACAGCAAAATAAAAGAAAAATACTACCGCTTATGCAAATGCAAAATGCTAAATGTGGAATGCTAATTCCACTGATTAGGAATGAGAAGCAGCGTAATATTTCATTGCTACGCGCCATTGACTTTGAAGCGCTGCGAAAATGGGAAAATGGAAAATGCGGCCAGGCCAGCTAAACCGATTTACACTGGATGGGGGAGTGGGGGAAAGTTGGCTCTGCAAATCCTTCTTACGCTTTTATCCTTAATCTTAATTATAGCCTGCCAGCCGAGTAGTCGGACAGTAAGGCAGGAAAAAGGAAGCTAAAATAAGAAAGGAAAGAAAAACATCCCAGAGTAAAATAAAGCAGCTGCAAATAGAAGCAGAAAAGTGGGAATGCCATCACGCCCGCCTTTCTTTTTGTATTTTTCCAGCCAACTTCTTTGGTTTTTGCCCCACCAATTTGTAGATATAGTCGGGTCTAACTCCCCCTGAGCTCCTCCTCCTCCTTTACGTATTTCCAAGGACCCATTTCCTTTGGCCAAAAGCCGAGGCGCAGCCGTCGCACTTCAAACTTTGTCATGAATTATGATGAACGAGCGCGGGACCCTTTCTCCTTTAGCTGACATTCCCCATAAAGAAAAACCAGCCTCTGTGGCACCCTTTTCATTGAAAAATGAAATGTGGTTGGCCCACTAAACAAGGTGGTATTTTTATACATAGGAAATAAAGAACAAGTTATATTAAGAGATTATATGCTTTTTAAGTAAAATATAAATTCTAAAACAAGAAAGGAAACTAAGTTTGGGAACCACAAGTTTGCAGTTTGCAATTGAATTATAGGATCTCATTTTTGGAATCAATATTCATTGGTATAGGTCGGAAATGACACCCCTTACTTCGTAACAATAATAAAATAATAATAATAATATAAAAACTTAAATGAACACATATCCTGGAAAAAGTTCTTCCCCGCATTGCACCTCTTATATTTCATTTTCAGGATCATTGTTTTTTTTATGCATAAACAAGAACTGACAATGTATGTCTGGCTGTGCGGCGGCACTTTATTAAGATTAATGATTTGGGGGCCAGCCAGATTGAATTATCTGTGGAATGCATTTGGCCAATGGACATGCTGGCTGATAGAAAGCTTTTTTTAATCACTCACAGCTCCTGTCCATTCATTTGCATAATGAAAGGAGTGTGCGGTGATAAGGATGCCAAATGCGAAGGGCTGCTGCCACTGCCATTGTCCTTTGTGTTGTTGCTTAGACAATGACTTCAAAGGGCACCGAAAATGGTTTCATTTTGTTTAGAAATATTTTGGGTACAAAGAGAAATGGTTAGCTTTCTGTTATTAAGATTTTTCTTATTTCTATTTTACAGATGTCAACATGGTGGCGGAACCGAAGGCGCATCAAATCGGAAGGAAACGACAGAATGTGAGCAAGACCGGAAATGATTGGTAAGTTTGAAGTTCCCCTCTTTTCTGATTCCTCAACTCAATTTCTGGCTCTCGTTTCAATTTAATCTAAAAGTTAACTCTGGTCAATTTAACGCCGCCATGTGGCATTCACTTAGGCTTTATTTACATATCATTTAACGGCTTTCCTTGGGTCCGCAAATAAATAAATAAATAAGGAACCATTCATCAGGCGATGGGGGTGTCGTCGCCCTTTTGTTTCAGCCATCGTCCGGCATAAAATATTTGGCTGTCAAGTGCTTTTTTTGGTACTGGCCAAGTTTTCGGCTCCTCGCTTTCCACATTTTCCCCACTCTTCCACTTTTCCACTTTCCTCGGCGTGGGTCAGAGCGTTCGAGCTTCGAGGGCTGCGTCAACACACTCGTATTTCGCATTTCGGCCGCCGTATTCCGTATCCCGGCGTATCCTGAGAGTGACAGTTGCAATGTATGCCATAATGTCCTGGCGCTGACATGTGCACTTGTTTGTCTTTGTCGTGGCGCGGCCTTAATGATGACTGAGCGACATCCACAATTTATTTGGGCCTTGAGCTGCAGACCTGACGACCTGCAGACCGACTCCCCTCTCTTCGGCACTCGTGTGGAAATATTTAATTTAAGCTTAATGACGCCGAAGCGGAATGTGTTGAGCCTTTAAAAAGAACATCGCCCAGGAGTTGGTTGAACAGGGAAATACGAAGTATATGTAAACTTAACTCGAGTTTAGTAAAATCCAAACTTGATGGCTTTGAAAATTATTTCTTTCCATGTAGAGGAAGCCCCACTGACATCGACTTGATTGTAATTAAAACGCAAAAATGTTGGCCCGACAGCACCCACTGTCTACATATATCCCTTGTCCAGGTGCTCTTGTGTTTGTCATTAAACGGTCGCTGTCCCATTCTACCATCCCTCACCTTTTGGCCAAAACCCACACACACACACACACACACTCACTCACACAAACTGACCGAAAAAGCCGCAATTGTTGCGCCGCGCCCTCTCTGTCCAGGACCTTTTCGCCCCACAGCCCCCACTTATCCACTTCTGACCACAATTGGTTTTGGGAAAGAGGAGGGAGTTGTCTGCTTTTGGCCTGTTTCGCCATTTGTATCAATCACTGGCAACCAAACCAAACCCAACGGGCGGCCCAAAAACACAATTGCCAAATGACAATTCAAGCGGCAGAAATGGCAGCCTAAACAAATATTGACGGACTGATGGGTTGACCGAGGGAATGACTGACTAGCTGGCTGAATGACTGACACTTTGAATGGGCAACAGTTGGCAGGCTCTTCATTGGCAGTTAATGAGGAGGTGTGAATTTGTCAGAGAGGGGAATGGATTGAAGCTAATATGTAGCTTAAATAGGATAATTGCTTAAAATACTTGTATAACTTTAATTGAGAAAAAAGAACATAGGAAATTACATATTTTTATCGTTAACTTCCTCGAAATTTTCTATTCCAAGGTTTCGTTTACTTCAATTAGCAAGTAAATGTTTGTCTTGGACAAAAGATTATCAGCGAAAAAGGGACACTATATATATTTTACACAAGGCAAAATACCTTATGTACTTAACATCCGTTCGATAAATTTAACTTATATTGTATTTGTTTAAAACACTGGAAATTGTATTAATTGTACCATTATTTGTTATACCAAAAGCAATTTTTCTAAATAATGTAATACAATTATATTAAAAATAAAATCAACAGATATTACCCACTTTTAAGCTGATATTATTAGTCCAAATAATACTAAAACGTAAAAATTTCTCTTGATGCAGGGATTACTTCTACGACAGCTACTGCTCCTCGGCCCTGCTCCGCGGCGGCGGTGGTGGCGGCGTTGGAGTTAATGGTGTGCGGGCCAAGAAACGGAAGCGCCTAATGACCAACGGCGGTGGAATGGCGGCTGCAGTGCAGCAGCAGCAGCTGCCAGGACATGGACACCATAGTGCGGCTGCTGTGGCGGCTGCCGTCCACCAGCAGCAGCAGCAGCAGGCGGCGCAACAGCAGCAGCAGCAGGCGCAGCAGCAACAGGCGGCTGTGGCGCAACAGCAGCACCAGCAGCAGGTGGCAGCGGTTGCCATGGCGGCAATGGCCAATTTGCTGCCACAGCAGCAGCTGCTGCTGCATCAGCAGAATCTGCTCTCCAATGTGGCCACCACCGCGTCCGCGGCGCCCGGTTCCCTCCACTGGTCGCAATACAAACAGGAGCAGCAACTGCCACTGGCCCACCATCCGCATCCGCATCCGCATCCTCACCAGCAGTTCGGATTTCAGCTGAAGAGCAGCGTGGCGGTCCAGTCAACGACATTGCCGCAGAATGCAAAGTCAGCAATAATTGCTAATCAAACGGCGCTCGGCGAGCCGTATCCTGTGGGAGGCTCCTTCCATCAGCAGCAACAGCAGCAGCAGCAACAGCAACAGCAGCAACATCAGCAACCGTTGCTGCAGCCGTTGACTCTGGCGTTGTCCCCACAGCAACCGCAGCCTCATCAGGCGGCGACGCCACTACAATTGCACAGCCAATTGATGCAGCAACATCAACAACAACAACAACAGCAGCAGCAGCAGCAACAGCAACATCAACAGCAGCAACATCAACAGCAGCAGCAGCAACAGCAACATCAAGCACAGGAGCAATTAAGTTTGCATCAGCAATGGGGACCCTTCAAAGTCTACAGTGAGTATTGGTCTCAGTTTGGTCACTTGACGAAAAAGGAGATAAAGTTGAGGATGATTTTAAGGATTTTCTTAAAGGATGGAGAGTGGAGAAGTTTGCACGAAGAAGAAATTCCTATATATAATAATAGAGTTTAGTTTAGGACCTAAAACTTAAATGTAAACAATTTTATTATCACTTCTACCTTTGGAAATTTAATCAACTTTCAGTTCAACTGTCTCAGTTTAGTTTGTCAAAACAGCTGCCGGCAAACGACATCGTCCCCAAAAAGTGAAAATGTATCAACCTTGGTCACCTGGCCCATCAGCACTCTTCGTCATCGTTGTCCTGTCAACTGCTAGTGCAACCGTATCAAATGTCGAGCCATTTCGGGTCCAAGAGAAGAAAACCCTTCAGCAGGACTATGTGAACGGAATACTCAATCTGAAGAGCAGCATGCTGACTAAGCGGCCAGATATCCCTAATAGCAACGACCATTCCGAGGAACACGGTAGAAGTCATAATAAGCAGGGGGCTGCTGCGGACACAATCGGCTCCCGTGGCGAGTATATGAGACAGTTGCAGGACCAAAGTCTCGAGCAAAAGAAGCCAAAGATTCAGGTTGACAAGAATGTCAATCTGAGGCATTCTTGGCAAGCTGACAGACCCCTTGATCTGTCCCAGATGCAATCGTTGCCATCATCGGCCGGGCTTGTTAGCTTTAAAAAGGATCTACAGGATCCGCAATTTGTCCAGTCACCCTTCTCTCTATATCCGATGCTCAAGAAAAGCAAAACCCCTGTCCAGCAACCAACAGCACAGCAATTACAGATGTTGCAACACTTATCCGAGTTTTTCGAGCAACGCCACAAAATGCAACGACCTGGCGTGAAACCTGCAGCTAAAGCTACAAAAACGGATCAGAGCGAAAACCAGGATGAATGCGATTCGGAGGCGACTACCGTGAGTGCTCCTAAGACCACAAAGGAACCGGAAACATGCGAGGGTGAGGAATCGGTAACAGTTATTATTAAGCCCGAAGGGACCACAAAGACCACAGCAGCTCCCGAAACAAGTACAAGTACGAATCCCACAAAATACACGAAGGCGCCCACCAAGTCAACTACAAAGCATACTATAAATCCACTACCAAACGATTGCCATGTTGCACTAAGCCCAAAAGTCCTCGAGTCGTCGAACCTTTCACTGTCGGTAAGATTACCGAAAAGGTCCAGAACAATCACAAGGAGTCCGACTCCCTGATGCAGCAACCTCGGTCCCATAGAAATGTGTTCCATCCTGAATTAATGGTAAAAGCCTTTGGCGATTTACTGAAATACAATGAGTTTATTGCCAATTCTGATTACAATGATCAAGGACAGCAGAAAAGGAGACGTGTGAAAAGCGGCAGGGCTAAGAAGGCGGATAGAGAACCGACCACTGCGAATGCTGGAAAAGAATAGGTTGGCTCATGCAAAGATTGATCTCTTGGCCGAAATAATAAAATCGCGCCAAAAAGGGGTTTATAGTAAAGCTCATATATCGAACATAAAGGATCATGGAATCCAGAGTCGTGTGGACAAGAACACCAATAAGGTCGCTGATGAACAACTTCGACCAAGTCGTACTCGAACCAAGGAGCAGTTTCTCGATGCAGAGATAAAGATCGAAGGCGATTTACCCAAATATAGCGATAAAATTAAAGCAGCTTCCAATCCAAGTTCCGTTTCCAACATAAAGGATGAGGAAAAGCCCCTTCTGGAATCTCCTTATGTCGATCTAAGGGACCCAGACAAGAAGTTTGATAGTCGTGTCAAAAGGAACACCAAAATTGCGGCGGATGAGCATCTGAAAACATTTTCAACTTTCACCGAGGAAAGATATAAGTTGCTTCTTGCAGAAGCTGACCTATATGCCGCAGTAGCAAGATCCCAGAGAAGGGCTAAAAAAGCAGCTTCCATTTCCAAATCAAATGATCAAGGACACCAGCTAGAAAGCCGTGCGAAAAAGAACATTTATCAGGCCGCTGATGAACATCTTGGATCCAGTCGGACGCCAAGCAAGGAGCATTTACTAGAAGCAGGGGTCTGGGCCGATTTACCAAAATATCGCGAGAAGGTTAAAGCAGGTCATATTCCCAGTTCAATTCCGAATGAAGGTCTTCCAGGTCGTTTGAAAGTGAACTCAAATATGGCCGCGAATGAACATCTTGTACCAAGTCGGATCAAAACCAAGGAGGACAAACTGAATGCAGAGATTAGGGTCTGGGCCGATTTACAAAAACATCGTGAGATGATTAAAGCTGCTTCTAATTCAAGTTCAATTTCCGGCATAAAGGAACAGGAACAGCTCCATACCGCTGGTCCTTATTGCGACCTTAAGGATCGAGAAAGAAAGTTAGATAGCCGTGTAAAAAGGGAAACCAATAAGGCCACTGAAGAGCCCTCCAAAAACGTTCAACTCTAAGCGAGGAGAAATATAAGATGCTTCTGGCAGAGGCTGACCTCTATGCCGCACTAGCAAGATCGCAGAGAAGGGCCAAAAATGCCAATTCCATTCCCACTCAAATTTCCAACTTCAAGGATCAAGCTCTGCAATGCCGTGTGAAAAGGAACTCAAATATAGACGCGGATGAGCATCCAGTTTTAAGCAAGGAGAGGAAACTAGAAGCAGAGATCAAGGTGTGGGAGGATTTGGTAAAATATGGCAAACAGTTTAATTCAGCAGCTAATTCTAGTAAAATTCCTAACTTGGAGGATCATGGATTGCAGCCAGGGAATCAAGTGAAAAGGAACATAAATAAGAATAAGGATGAGCATCTGAAAACACGTTCAACTCTAAGCGAGGAGAGATATAAGTTGCTCCTGGCAGAGGCTGACCTTTATGCCGCAGTAGCAAGATCGCAGAGAAGGGCTCAAAAAGCAGCTTCCATTTCAAGTTCCATTTCAAACATAAATGATCAAGAACTCCAACGAGATAACCGTGTGAAAGGGAACTCAGATAAGCCCAAGGTTGAACATATTCAACAAGGTGAAGCTCCAAACAACGATCGTTTACGTGCAGCAGAGGTCAAGGTCTGGGCCGATTTACCAAAATATCGCGAAAAGTTTAAATCAGTTCCCATTCCTAGTTCCATTTCCAACACAAAGGATCAGGAACAGTTCCATATGGAAGCTCCTTATTTCGGTCTAAATGTCCCAGAAGAGAAGTTTGATAGTCGTGTGAAAAGGAACACCAATAATGCCGCAAATGATTATCTCAAGGAACAAATCCGCCAAGCAAGGGACACGTATAATTTGCTCCTAACTGAAGCAGACTTTGGTGTCAAAGGAGGAAGATCCCAGAGAAGCGTTAAAAATGCAGTTCCTATTAACAGTTCCATTTCCGGTCAAGAACTTCAACTAGAAAGTCGTGTTAAAAGAAACATCAATGATATTATGGATGAGCATCTTAGCCCAAGTCAGATTAAAAGCAAGCAGGAATCATTGGAAGCTGAGGACGAGTTCTGGGCCGACCTAATTTAAAACCCTAAAAAAGAAACATGGAACTGAAGCAAGATATCAATTTTGAACTATATATTTTTACCAATTTTAATATATTTCTTTACTTAATTATCAAATGAGTTTTTAAGTTTTTTAACGGGAAATTTGATTAGTAAATGGAAGCAGTAGAGCAAAACTTTATAATTATTCATGATTTTGGTAAATAAATTTAATTGATTCGAAAATAGATAATCTCCCCAAGTCACCATAATTATTTTATTTAGTTCAAAACTTTGTTTAAAAAACCCATTCCCTTTGCATATTTGCAGGCAATCCGGACACATTAATCTGCGGCAATTGCCGGGAAAGCTTTGGCGAGCTGTCTGAGTTATTGGACCACAAGAAAAGTTATTGCAAGCTGAGGTTCACATGCAAGTGCCAGGATGTTGCCTTTGCGGCGAGTGCGAGTAAGTGGCGAGGCCAAGTCCTTCGAGGAGCAGTGGGCGTGGGCATGGCAGCTTGTCTGTTGGCAATTAATTTATGATTGTTAAACACTTTTTGTCCGGGGGCGGCTGGTCGGGCCAAAAGGGAGCTGCAAGTGTTTGTCTTAGACAGGCCTGTTTGCCAGTCAGCAACATCTGGCCCGAGAAGGATATGAGTTCGTGTCCTGTGGCTGCTTGCAAATGCATTTAAAATTGAGTTATTTATGAATGCCCTCCCTCTGTCCCTCTGCTTCTCTCGGTCCGTCTTGGCAAATTCCAACTTAAATAACTAATTAATTCTTGCAGAGACGACGCCGCCGACGAGCGCTAAATTGCTATGTGCCGTTTGCAAGGATGCGTTCGCCAATCCCTGGGACTTGATGGTCCACGCCCAGGCCGCTCACATGGTTAACATTTACGAGCTGGGCGATGATGAGGCGTCCAGCAATACCAACAACAATTGCATCAGCAATTCCAACAGCAACATGGCCGCTGCAGTTGCAGTCGCCGCCGTGGAGAATGGACATGCAACGATTGTCGCCGATGAGGCGGCAGTTGCCACAAAGCAGACGCCCCCACAGATGCCAGTGACGCCGATGCTCAAGAATGAGCCCAATAACAATAACAAAATTAGCAACAATAACAGCATCCTGGATAGCAGCATCATCAGCAACAGCAGCATTGTTAATAATAACAACAACAGCAATGACAACAATGGCCACATGTCGCCCTCGGCAGCTGGCAATTTAATGGCCACCGGATCGGGTGAAAATGGCAGTGCCAGCGACATGGACACCAATTGCCAGCTGGACATCAAGTTCAGTCCCAGCGCCAGTGCCAGTCCCAAGGAGGTGGGTTGTCTTCTGGATGGCATTGCCTCTGGCCGAGCTTATTTAACGATTATCTTACAGGATCAACATCGCGATGATCTCTCGCTGGATGGACGCCTGTCCAGCAGCTCCCAGCAGACGCATCACTCCGACGAGCTGAACGTCAAGTTGCTCAACGGATCCGTCTCCTCGCGTGGCAGTTCACCTGGCCTGGAAGCGGACGAGCCGCCGGCCACCAGGGCTTGTATTGTCCGCACTCTGAGCATTGTGAGTATGGCAAATCCTTGAAATCCTTACTACAATAATTTGGTAGGAATTTGCAAGACATTAAATTGAAGAAAGCTATGAAAGCGGAATTAGTTTGATATATCGAGCAGAGTATCAATTTTATATCATCTAAGTGTATCGCAAAATGAATTATTGAATGTATCTCTCTAAGCTACAACCATTTTTTAAGTAACTCAATGAAGATTACTTTATTAAAGAGCTAAAAACCAAATAAAATTCTTCCACCTATAATTACAGGATACTTCTGGACCAAGTGCATCTACCACAGCCAACGCTTTGAGCCTGATCTCCAATGGTTTGGGCCTGGCCCTGGCACCCCAATAGGTCAGAGGTCAAGCAGAGGGAGGGGTCCTCTCGAAGGAGTGTTTTGTGCGATCGTAACCCAAAACAAGTGCAATTTCTTCAGTATTTTTATAACAGACTAACTAATGGGCAGGCAGTTGCCATGGGTTTGGGGAAATGGAGTTCAGCGGAATGAATAACGTAAATTACGTAAAAACATATCATTTTAAATTAGCCATAGGTATGACATACGAGCAGCTATACATATATCCTGCGGTTAGCTATAACAATTACATCCATGTATTGTACGTATTTGTATTTGTATTTCTCGTTTAACTGCCTTTGTGTTGATGTTGTTTGCATGTCCTTTGGGTTTAGCGTTTCAAGCGAACGTATTTATTTGGGTTTCAAAACGGCAAAACTGCATAAGTGAACGTATAGGTAAAATTATGAAAAGCTTAAGCTGTCACCGCCTGTCGGTGGTGCGAATTAAACGGTAATCGAGCTTTGTATATAGTTAATACCCATAATTATACAAGGATACAAATTACAGAATTATAAGATCACTGTTGATGATGCCCGGTCTTTGCTTGGCCGGCGCTGGCTTTAACCGGAGTTTATATTTTGGATATTTCATTTACGGATTAATCTAATCGTAGAGAGAACCAAAAATATTAACCCACGCAAATTGTATATCAAAAGTAGCATAGTGACAACAGGTGTTTCAAAAACAAATTCGGAGAAACTTGCTATATATATACATTATTATCTAGTAACATAATCAAATATGCGTAATATTATGTAATACCTAATATCAAAAGTAGCGGCTATGTAAATAGGTTAATCAACGTATTATGTACTTACCAAGCAAACAATTTGTAAACAGTAACAACATTCAATTCAATGTCCTCCAGCTAAAGCATATAAACCAACCAAAAAGAAATGTATTATGCGAATGAGAATACCAAATATATATTATATAGATTATATATATATATATTCAATCGAGTCTTTTAATGGGTTCACCAGGGAAAAGGGAAAGGGAAAGTCGTTCTGTCTAGCAGGAACTTCAGGCATCAAAAATTCTATTTCGCAGCTCATTAAAATAAATGACGATCGCCAGACGACGACGGAGCGCACAAGTGTGTAAATGTTTACGGCTGCCAAAAGGAGTACACGTAAAAAGGAGTGCAAGGACAATGCCAGCATTGTTGCCAGTTCAGCGACGCAGTAAAGAAAAGTCCCAACAAAAGGGTGGGTTAGGGGGTTTGTGTCGTGCACCTCCAGGACCTCCGAAAAATTTAGACACAATGCCACTGCCGGCTGCAGTTAACTTTATTAAAATGCACCACCAAAATAGTCGCAGCGACTTTTGTTGTGTCCTTGCCGCTGGTCATTGCGGCTCTTTTGCAGGACCTCTTTTTAAGGGTATATGGAGATTATCGTACTATTTGACAAATTGTTAATACCAAACAAAAAATAAGCAAATAAAAATATATATTAAATACATACGAAGGCCAAACAGGCAATGAATGCCGAAGTCATATACATTTCGATTTAAAATTCGAATATTTTGGTATCCTAATACAAGCCAATACAGAATAGCTTTCCGATTTGAGATAAATTCAATTTGCTTAGTATGTCCATGATATCGAACCAAGACCCTAAGGCTAACTGCCAGGGTAATCAATCTCCGGTTTATCGATTAAACACCCCCTTTAAAAAAATAAGGAAAACCATATTATAAATATTTGCGAATTTTTCAAGACTTAATAAAACGAACTTTTGACGTAGTTGTTATCAATTCCCAATTAAATCCTATGATCCAAGTAGAAAGTGCAAGGTATACTAATTTCAGCTTCCCTAAAATAGTTCCTTTCTTTGAATATTTTTATTTTTCCTAAATTATATTAACTTTCAATATTTTCATTAATTGGTTCACTGGTAAGTGTATTCCCAATTCGCTTTAAAGAACGAAAAAGGATAAGCCACTGTTGTGCCTCGTTTAACCTGAGGATTTGACTAGACATTGTTTGCGTCTGCAGCCGCGTGGCATTTTGTTTCGAGGTCGAGCTATGTTAAGCGCCTGCAGTCAAGTGGCGTCCGGGATTTAAAATGCATAAGCCCCGGTGCAGAGTTACCTTTTCAATTTGGTGTTTCCGTGCCGTGGTTTGGCTGCAGATAGAGGAGGGTCCAGGTGCAAATGGGGTCCTAAACAAGACTCAGAGGAAGTGGCAGAGTGTGACGCTGCGACCTGGGGCTTGGCTGGAGTGGCTTAAAGTGCGCCGGCTAATTAGAATGCCTCGCCTAGTGCAGGCTCAAAGGTAACATTTAGCCGGGGCAATGGGTCAACTGCTAGCTGGCTGGCTGGCAATTATGGGGTCTGGTCAGCGGGTTTGGGGTCCTGGGAGCTCTCCGGGGACTAACCTGTGGTCCGGTGCGAGCTTGCGAATTACGCCAGCTTAGCGAAATGAAGTAATTGAAACAATAGAGCGAAATGCCACCGAAAACGCAACTGTCCCACTCCGAGTCGACGCCCGGAGTGCGTGCCAGAGTCCTTGGAATCCTTTGGGGGCAGCCGCCCCACTCAGTTCTCCGCAGGACGAAGGACTATAAAAGCCGGAGTCGTCGCGTGCGCACCGCTGACTTAGTCAACGCATCTCCTGCACGCCGGACCGGATGTCGACCGACAGCACACAGCCGCACACGCCCAGCCACGATGTGGTGGACGCAGTGCGTCCCCAGCCGTGTGCCGCCAACCAGTGGAAGAGGGCCGCCTTAATGGCCCGGATGGCGCCCGCGTTCCGCGAAACGGTCTCCGACGATAGCGAGGACGAGGTGGACACCAAAAAGCAGATCAAATACGGCAGCGGCTTCCAAGCGGCAAAGGCCATCATTCATGAGTACTGCGACTACACGACCATTCATGGCATCCGGTATTTGGGGGAGAAGAAGCGACCCTTTCTCGAGCGTCTCTTCTGGATCTGTGTCCTGCTCCTGTCCGTGTTCACCTGCGTTAAGCTAACCCTCAATATCTGGGACAAATGGAACAATAATCCAGTGATTGTCAGCTTTGCCGAGAAATCAACTCCCGTGTGGGAAATACCCTTTCCTGCTGTCACTGTTTGTCCGGAGACCAAGACGCGTCGTTCCATATTTAACTTTACACATCGTATCATCAGGTTCGCGATTTCGGAATAATGTAACAGGAATATTGGATCTTACAGATAAAGAGTAAGTTTCTAGATAGGATAAAATTGATTAAGAAGACCAAAAATTCATAACTAATTAAAACGCTGTATACTTCGTTTGATCATTATCATTCAGAAAAGGCATATATGGATCAGTGGTACAGGTCTGTGAAGCACATTTGCATGACATTACCCTGGGCGAGAAGATCAGAAAGGGCATGGAGATCATTGACGGCCTGACCTCCGTATCGCCCACCTTCGATGACACCTATCTTAACTGCAAGTGGCGAAATACCGGAGTCAAGTGCAATGACATTTTCCACAAGTTTGTGACTGAAGACGGCGTTTGCTACAGCTTCAACTCACTGAGTCCAGCGGAAATCTTCAAACCAGAAGGGTAAGATCAGCCTCAAGAAAGGAGGATTTAATAATCTTATATGGCTTCCCTGGACAGCATTATTCCGACTTTATATTCCGCGAGGAGAATCGCCTCTCGATGGATTGGAATGTAGAGGATGGTTACAGTGCCAGTGCGGATACTTCGCCCTATCCCAACAGAGTTTTGGGTCCTGGAGCCCGAGCTGGTCTCTATCTTTTTATGGGTGGAATGGAAATTGATTTTGATGACATGTGTCGAGGCCCTGTTCAGGGTTTTAAGGTGGGTTAATATTGAATTCATTTAAACCAGGGGGGTTAATGGATACAAAGCCCCGTAGATCCTCTTACACACACCCGGAGACGTGGCCCAAGTGTCGAAGCAGTATTTCCGCATACCCTTCGACCAGGAGGTGCTCATCTCCATTCGTCCCAAGATCATCACCACCTCGGATGGCCTGAAGCACTACGAGCCCAATCGGCGGCAGTGTTACTTCCAGAAGGAGAGGGACCTGCGTTACTTCAACATCTATTCCCAAAGCAACTGCGAGCTGGAGTGCCTTGCGAACTTCACCCTGTCAAAATGCGGTTGCGTCAAGTTCAACATGCCACGTAAGCATTTTTTCCGGGCAAGTCCTTCGGGGATATACCAAATTACTTTCGGTTAACGTTAGGTAATGTCAATATGCCCGTTTGCGGAGCTGCCAGCTTGAAGTGCTACAACGAGGCGGAGGATGAGCTGCTGCTCAGGGAGTTTAACCAGGGACTGATGAACTCCGATGAGAATGCCCGGGGTGAAACCGAGTGTAACTGCCTCCCGTCCTGTACCTCGATCGCCTACGAGGCGGAGATTTCCCAGGCGGACTTTGACTACAAAACAGTGATCAATACGGACACGCCGGAGGGTAAGGCCGAGCAGGCCAAGCACGAGGGGTAAGTTGAAAGAGGATCCTTAACTTTCTTATTCTCAAAAGTAATTAATACATTTTCTTAGTATGAAAATGTCCCGCGTGTCGATCTTCTTCAAGGAGGCACAGTTCCTCACCTCACGACGCTCTGAGCTCTATGGTACCACCGATTTTCTTGCCAACTGTGGTGGTCTCTTGGGTCTCTTCATGGGCGTGTCCATGCTCTCAATTGTGGAGCTGATCTACTTCTGTACGGTGCGCCTCATTTCGAATTTAAGGATGCGCCGCAAGACCCGCAAGGAGCTGCTGCAGGCGGTCAACAAGGATGCCTAATTGGGAAGGACCTCCTCCATGACCAAGTTGAGCTGACTCGGCTGCTCTGCTCTGTGTTTGTGTTGCGTTAAATGTTAAATCTGCAAACAATGAAAATAAAGTTGTACTCAGCACCAGACTGCCAATGGAGTCCTTTGCCTATCCTATCCTATCCTGATACGACCCGCATACTGTCAGGCTCTTCTCCTCTCTCTGCGTGTGTACATTTCAAATGGAATCAATTATTTTATTGTGTGATTTGCTGCCCTGCCCTGCCTTCGACTCAGATTCGATTCGATTTCGAAAGTCAATAGACAACGACGTCATGAAAGTCGCAGACAAAGTCAAAGCGAAGCTACGCATCTCATCTTCTCGCTCATATGTGATGCAGGACCCAATCCTTTGAATCCTGCATCCGATATCCTTCGGATTCTCGGCTGGGGATATACCTTAGCTGGGCAAACAGTGCAGCAGAGGCAGCCATCGTCGTTCGAGTTGTGCGTACGGCTCTAATGGAAATCCAATTGAATTAAGTTAATTATGTTGGCAAATATTTAAACAATAGCAGCAATTTATGCGCACCCATTCCCACACATGGAATATATGTATATTGTATGTATATATCTCACTCCTCGTGCCACTACATTCGACGCAAAGTAAGCTTTAATTTGTAATGTTCATGGGACTAGTGATGTTACTATCTCTTACTGTGGCTATATTATACATAATTTAAACTGTTTATAGGGATTTCCTGGAGTTATATTTATATAAATATTAAAATAATGTATAATATGTAAAGAAATATCTTTTAAAAGATAGATAGTTAAATATATATCCACCGAAGTATATCCCATCTCTGCCTTGTTCTTGTTTATTATACAATGGCCTCTGTAAATTATAAAACCGTGGAGTTTTCCACAAAACAGTTGTGCAACAGTTGCGCTTCAGGCGGCGACGAAAAGTGCTGAAATATGCATCGAGTTTCATTATGGCAACAAGTGTCGTCGAAATGTCGAAACGTGTCGAAATATTGCAAATAAAGTTGACACATTTGCATATGCCTAATAAAACTTTCATGACCCCAGGCCCGGGAGTTACACAACGTGGCGAGTGCAGCGGGCACGGAATCCGCCGAGTTCGTATCCGGAATCAGAAATCTGAAAACCGGAATCCGGAATCCGGAATCCGCGTCCGTGTCCGCACTTTGGCACTTTCCATCTCCACCGGCTGGCATTTTGTGGGCCACTTTTTACTTTCCTCGGTGCTGGTATTCAGGGCATTCGTGCCTGCCTGCCAATTTGATTCACATATAAAAATGAATTTATGACAATTTCTGGCTGATGGCTGCCAAGGCTGTCTCGAGGGCTTTATTGATTGCACACAGATGGGCAGAGAGAGGGCGGTTTTTAAAATAGCTTCGCACAGACTTCTTTTCTTATAGTATATAGTATACTTTACATTATCTTTTCCATCAACTCTCGGAAGAATGACATTGTCCATTTATATGATTATGTCCGTTTGTGTATTATCATTATCCTTTTGGTCCCAGACATCGGCTATTAAGCAGTAAAAGCACAAAACTCACAGTCTGTAAAGGCAATGTCAGTAATCAATTTGCAAGTAATTTCTTCGCTTTTCCGCCTGAGTTTTCCACCCTTTGTGATGGCAGACATGAATAAGTCCAGGATAACATGACACTTGACATTGAGCCGGAGATCGTGGGAAATCCGGAGAGCGGCAGCAGCGTTACTGCACTCGCTTTGCAATATCAATAAAAAGTTTGTTTCGCTTTTAGCAGAAAAATTTCACCGGCAAAAAAGTACAAATTGTAATTAAACTTTTGCACAATGCAACAACTCCAACTGTCCGCAGTGTCTGGCAGCAGTCAGCGAAAAATCGGCTGCGTGGCAACAACAAATAACAAAAGGCAAAGTGCAGGCCAATCGCTTGATTTGCTTGGCAGGGCTTTAAATTTCCGGTTTCCTGTTTCCGGTCTAGAAGCCCCCACAAGCAAAGGCTCGTAACTGTCAGTAGGAACATACTAGAAAAGTATGCACAATGGGTGTTAGATCTCCTATTTTTAAGACATTAAGTGTAAGAGACTTTAAAGATTGAAGATATCAACCTATATTAATTAAAAATTTTATATAAGCCTTCCTACATGATTTTTAAGAATTTTCTCTCACATTTTACTTAGACAAAAATTACCAAAAATATCTATAAATATTCGAATGATGTTCCTTAAGAAAAATATAGTTTCCACCTATTTTAAGCACACAGTAAGATCCCTTGCAGGAAGCAGTCAGCCGGCAGCCATGTTTGTTTGTATTTATGTCGGTTTGCCGAGCAACATTTTGCGGCATTCAAATGCGGAGCGGCTGCAGCACGCGGCTGTCATGTCAAGAGGTGGTGGCCCACCTGGCGGGGATCGGAGTATCCCTTGGAGTGCCTCAGATGACGACTGACTCGCGGCTGCCTCAAACTGATTGCTTAAGCGGAAATGACTTGAATGGCTTCGCCTTCGCCACGTCACACGGGGCGTATGTGGAATTTCGCACTCGATTGCCTTCACCGCGCCCGGAGTTAAAGTTTTGTGTAACGCGATTAGCGGTTTGAGCTTGTTTCGTTGCCGTTGCTGTGTTTTAGGTTCAGTGTTGTGTTTCTAAACCATGGCAGGTCCTTCTGCGTCCTTTGGAGCCACACCTGGAGTCGAGCATCGATTGCAGTAATTGCAGTTTGCAGCGCAACTCCGAAACTTTGGCTCCGAGTTGGAAAAGTCATTAAAAACTTGGGCCCAACTTTGGGATTGGAATTAGAATTTTTGATTAAATTGCTCGCGAATTTACTGCGACAAGACACAAGGCAAGACAATTAATGAAAAATGCATAAGCCAAATGGCGAATCAATGTATATCGTGACACCAATTGCGAATTAACACCCTCGTTCAGTCACACACACACACTCCTCAGCCATATATAGCCTCATTGTCACGCAGGATTTGCTGCGGCATTTCCCGACCGCAAGTCCTTCGAAAAGGAATTTGTATGCAAACCGCGCACTAAATTAGATTCTTTTTTACTGCAGTCACATCGTCCGCTTGATGATGAGGCGATGACAGCGTCTCCTCCGGGTTTATTCCGCTCCGGAGTCCTCAGTCCGGATCCGGCGATAAAATGCGTAAGCTCGTTAAAATTGCAAGCGACGCGCCTCTTATAATAATGGTGCCTCAGTCGATGGCTGAAGGATATTGATGGATATTGGTGCGTCGTATTGATTTGACTCCGCAGGATTCATCCTGTAGTTGATGGTTGAGGTTAATCCGATGCTGGAGTGCCAAGCAGTAAACATAAAAGCGTTGGCTTGAGATGGGGAAATAGTAATCTCGGCATATGTGCTAGCAACCTGTTGTAGTTTACTTTTGTGGGAGGAATTTCCAGTCTTTAATGCTAGCTTTAACATTCAAATTATAAGAATAACACGGACAGGAAAATCTAACAAATGATAGACATAGCATAGCATAGATAGCATATAAACTTGTATCCTTTCTTTGTAAGAAACCACTTACTTGGATAATATTTTGAGGTTTATCAGTTCAACATAAATACATTTTCCACAGATATTTCAAATGTATTCGGTCAGTACAAAATATAAATAAATATTTATAGAAACCATTCTTTATCAGAGTTTGTTTATTAAATATTTAAAAACGGTTTAAAGATATTAAACCAATAATATTTTTAAATATTATTTGCATAAATATACTTAATCCAACCATTGCCAGTCATAAACTAAATCTTCCCTTCGCCAACAATAAAAACCCGATCTCTCACTTTCCATATTCATACCCAGTTTTATAATTGCTTTTCCCAGGGACCAGAAAAGGCCCCGAAAATTCAGCAACCAACACAACTGGCATACAGACAAAGAAAATAATATAAATTAAATTCACTCGCACAAGTTCTCGAGCTTATTATGCATTACCTAATGAAAACTGGGCCAGGACATACACAGTCAGCGGCAAGGACCAAGGACCAAGGACCAAGGGAGAACTGACTACTACGACTGCTGCCAGAACTGGCAGCCGCGTAAGCAAATAATAAATAAATAAATAAACGAAAAGCGCAAATAACATTTGAGAGCCAGATTTAATTTCTAACGTTGAGTGCGCATATTAAAACAGTCGGGATTGTGGCAAGGGATTTTCCGGGGGAAAATCAAGAGGGGAGGAGGTGGAGGAGCGTGCAGACAAAAGGCGGAGTAGGAAAACCTTGCTGGAAGCGACAAACAAAGATGATGCGGATATCGCTGAGCCCGGTCTGGTGTCGGTATCTGTTGGGATGTGGATATGAAAGTGGCTGTGGAAGTGGAAATGCAGCGGAAATGCGGGATTCCGAAACTCCAGGACCCCAGGACTCAGGGATGCCTGCCTGCGGGGGATATAAAAATAAACAATCAAAGCGGGCGGCAGAAGGCGTAATAGAAGTTGGCGTGAGTAAACAATGAATTACGGAATCATGAAAGCAAATTGACTTTAATGCAAAAATCAAATATTTACACAGCGTGGATGCGGGACAAGGAACGGAGGCATGAGAGCGGGAAAAAGACGGCAATGCAATTGCAATTTCCAGACGAAAGAGATGGAGAGACAAAGGCAAACAAATAGACAAACAAAAGCAAACGAAACGAAACGAAACGAAAGAAAGAACGCATACAAATTGAGGTTATGTCAGACGTCCTGGCCCCCAAAACTCCTTCCCATTTTCCCAAAAAACTTGTTTCGGCACTTAAATGCCAATGCACACACAACCCCAGCAGCACTCACACACATACTCACACTTATTAATATTTGGATAGTCCTGCACAGGAGAAAAATATATATGTCTTCAATAGATATCCAAAGATTTAAGAATATGTAAACCAAAAAAGGAATCCTGCACAGCAGAGAAATATATCTTCAAATATCTTCTTCAAGCAGAGAAATATATCTTTAAAATATTTTGAAATATTTTTGATTATCAGGATTTAAAAAATGATATAGCAAATAATCCTCAAATATAAACGTAACTTTTATTATTTTAAAAATAAATTGTTCAGAGGTTCTACAGCAATC